TTGTTCCTGAAATAATGGGAGGTTGCGAAAATTTAAAGATAGTCAAATTGCAAGCTATTTAAAGGAGGGAAAAGAACTTAGGAAAATGATCATCTGTCCAGCACCCTTTTCAAATCCTTCTCTTTTTTTTTTTTTCCTTCTCTATTTTAGTGCATTTCTTGTTTCTCTACTTCGGTTTCTTTTATTTCTACCAAGATCAATTTGTTTCTTTTTTGTTATTTCTTTAGTTTGTGTTATTATTCTTGCATCTTAATATTTTAATTTTTTCAAATTAATATCATTTAATTTCCAGCCTTAATTTGTCTTTCATTTTTACATTCATATGATCAAATCTCATTCGCTCCCGTTATACTAAACCAGCTCCGAATTAAGTTATCGCGATTGATTCTATCCGCACCCGTTTGCGCATTGATTTTTATTGTAAGACTAGCCCGGATACTTTCTTAAGTAAGCCGGGGAACCCGATTTACATCGATACCGACAAGCCAAAATCTACTAGGCCATCATCGACGAATTTTAAGCGATAACACAAATGCACAAGTAAGGCCTATGGAATCTGTGCATGTCTAGAATATCCTACCGATGTTTGTCATACCATGATTCAAGGAGTAGATGCGTATTATGTGGGATTCATTCAGAGCACATATAACTCCTACTTGAATATTTACAACCCAGGATCGAGAAATCATCCCTACTTGAAGTATGTAAATTAGAAAGCCAATGCAAGAGATAATTCTCAGGAATTCCAAGTGCCTAAAAATTCCCCATAACCCTCTCAAGCATTTCCGGGTAATACTTTACAGATACAATGAAGATTATGTTGGATAATCGGTTATTTTGCAATCGATTATTTGTGAGTGAAAATACGACGGGCCGGTGTAGCAAATTGATATAATTAATTTAGAATAAATAAATAAAAATTATTTATTTATTGTGTATGGGGTTTGGTTAATATTTTGACTATTTTGTCTGTTTCGAGACAAAACAAATTGTGCAACCCCAAATTAAACCTGGTTATATGGCCTAAGTCGCAATATTATTTGGATAAAATATTATTTGTTGAGAAATTTATTATAATCTCAAACGGAAGGTTTGAAATTAGAATAAATTACAATCGTTCCAAACGGAAGGTTTGAAATTAGAATAAATTACGATCGTCACAAACGGAACGTTTGTAATAAGAATCAATTACGTTGCTTCAAACGGAAGGTTTGAATTTATAATTAATTACATCGATAACTAAGGTCGTAATTATGATCGTAATCAATCCCCTGCCATTTTGGCGGAGTGGAGACGCCTATATAAAGGGCCTCCCCCTTCATTCTAATCAACCAACTAAAAAGAATTAATCATCTCGTCCTTCTCTCCTCTCTTCTAGCTTTCCGGCAGCCTCCCCAGCTCAGTCCCTCTCTCGTTTTTGTTCGCCGGAGCTCCAACGATTAGAGGTGCCACTCTCATTGGAGACGGAAACCGTTTTATCTTTGGATTAGAACACCATCCACTGGAGGCACTACCGAGGCGTTTCTAAATTTCGGAAAGAGGATCCATCATCGACTCGGTTTCACATTTCTTCCCGCAATATCCATATATTCCAACAATCGAAAATTAGATAATACTTTGCGAGAATGTCAACCCCTGCCGGAGCCACTGCCGGAACCTCCGCCGAAGAAGTCGCCGGAACCGCCGCCGGAAAATTCTCCGAAGCCGCAACTGGAGTTTTCGCCGGAGATGTTGCCGGAATCTCCACCGGAGCCCCCACTGGAATCGCCGCCGAAGATGTCGCCAGAGCCGTCGCAAGAGGAGTCGCTGGAACTGCCACCGGTAAAGTCGCCGAAATCTCCGCCGGAGGCGCCGCCGGAGGAATCGCCGGAGGAGTCACCGGAGCCGCCGCCGGAGGAATCGTTGGAGGAGTCGCCGAAACCGCAAACAAGGTACTTGCTCCTTCACTTGGGCCAATTCCTTTTATGGGCAACCCTTTGTTTTCTGGATTTGCCCCTGGGGGATATGGGGGATTTCCTGGGTTTTTGGCCGCACCCTCTGCTTCATTCGCGGCCCAAACTGTTAGTCCTGGGCTTGGCCCACGGATGATGCCCCATGTACAAGTTCCAAAACCATTCACGGTAGTGGACTTTAAGAGGTGGCAGGAGAAGATGCTCTTCTACCTGACTGCGATTGGGTTTGTCATGTTCGTGTTGCACGATGGCCCAATAACCCAGAGCGTAGTGCGGATCAGCAGACACATGCGAATTATGCATCGTGGGCACACGAGACTACATGACAAGAAATATTATATTAGGTAGTCTCTCTAACTCTCTTTATAATGTATATTGCAAAATAAAAAGTGCGAAAGGGTTGTGGGATGCCCTTGAGAAAAAATATAAGTCCGAGAATGCCGGGTCTAAAATGTTTGTTGTGGCCCGGTTTATGGATTATAAGATGGTAGATGGCAAGTCTGTTGTCGAACAAGTGGAAGAATTTCAACTATTGTTCACTCGACGAGGAGATGCACTGCCAGAAAAGTTCATCCGAGTGTGATGATCGAGAAATTGCCCCCGAGTTAGAGCAGCTTCAAGCACGGGCTGAAGCATGAGCTAAAGCAAGTGAGGCTTGAAGATTTGATTGTCCGAATTCGGATTGAGGAAGACAACAGAAAACAGCATAAGGCTAAAAGTGGAGATATTGCTAAAGCCAACTTGGTCGGAGATCCCGCCAAAAAACGTGCACACCCAACTCAAATGGACAAGGGCAAAGCCAAATAGTCCAAGTTCATAGGTAACTGTTTTAACTGTGGAAAAATAGGACACCAGGTTAAGGACTACAAGGCACCGAAAAAGAAGAAGCCGAGTTCCCAATTGGTCGAGACGAGCCACCGGACTGATCGTGATCTCAATAGTAATGACCTTGTCGCTGTTGTCTACGAAACTAATAATGTGGAAACTCCGAGAGCTTGGTATATTGACACTGGAGCAACCTGCCATGTTTGCTCCGACAAAACAAACTTCTCGACCTACAAGGAGACCGAAGGGAGGAAGCTGCACATGGGAATGTGGTGCTGAAGATGACCTCTGGCAAAGAACTAACCTTGAAAGATCTCCTGCATGTTCTAGACATTCGGAAAAATCTCGTCTCAGGATCGCTACTAGTTAGGCATGGTTTTAAACTTGTCTTTGTAGCAGATAAATTTATACTATCGAAAACCGAGATGTTCCTAACTAGGGGTTATCTTACAAATGGGTTGTTCAAATTGAACATAATGGCTGTGCACCGAGCACCACCTACTGATAATAAAAATGTTGTTTTTTCTTCGTACTTGATTGAGTGTTCTGATTCATGGTATTGCAGACTAGGTCATATAAATCTAAATGCTATAAAAAGATTAGTAAATATGAATTTACTAAATATAAAAGAGGTGAACACTCAAAACAAATGTGAAGTTTGCTTGGAGGCCAAATGGAAAAATTACCTTTCCCGTCTGTCGAAAGGAAGATTAAGCCATTAGAGTTAATTCACACCTGATGTATGTGATTTAAAATTTGTGCAAACTAGAGGTGGAAATCGATGAGTGCACAAAGTATTGCTATATTTACATATTAGGGGAAAAGAGCGAAGCAATCGAGGTCTTCAAGAACTTCAAAATCGAGGCAAAAATCAACTTGACTGTAAAATCAAGACAATTCGAAGTGATATAGGTGGGGAATATGTGGCCCCGTTCGAAAAAATATGTAATGAAAGTGGCATAATTCATCAAACAACGGCTCCATATTCACCTCAATCAAACGGCGTTGCAGAACACAAAAATCGAACACTTAAAGAAATGATGAATGCCTTGCTGATAAGTTCAGGACTTCCCCAAAACCTGTGGGGGGAGGCGGTACTGATTGCAAATTATATCCTGAACAAGATTCCACTTAAGGGTAAGGATGCCACCCCTTACGAACTATGGAAAGGCAAAAAACCCATATACAAATACTTCAAAGTGTGGGGGTGCCTAGCAAAAGTGGAAGTTCCGCTTCCAAAGCAAGTTGGTATCGGTCCAAAAATGGTAGACTACATATTTATCGGATACACACTAAACAGTAGTGTCTATCATTTCATAGTTCACAAATCGGAAATCCCTGGGATGACCGAGGGAACTACGATAGAATCAAAGAATGCCATATTATTTGAAAATATCTACCCTTGTAAAGAACGGATGCAATCAAATCCAAATTCCGTAGTTGAAGAACTACGGGGCGTAAAAAGACAAATGACTAATAGCCCTGATCAAGAGGCTTCAGAGCCTAGGCGTAGCAAAAGGACAAGGGTCGAGAAAACCTTTGGTCCGGATTTTGTTACGTATATGTTAGACAATGATCCAACAACGATCAAGGAAGCACTATCCGGTCCTGATGCTCCTTTTTGGAAGGAAGCAATAGATAGTGAAATAGACTCTATAATGCGTAATAACACTTGGGTGTTATCTGACCTACCCGAAGGTTGCAAACCACTAGGGTGTAAATGGGTTTTGAATAAGAAACTCAAGGCTGATGGGTCTATTGACAAATACAAAGTCAGTCTCGTAGTAAAAGGCTACAGACAAACCGAAGGGTTTGACTTCTTCGAAACATATTCACCAGTAACTAGGATAACATCCATTCGAATACTTCTTTTGATTGCGTCTTTGAACAATCTTGAGATTCACCAAATGGATGTGAAGACTGTTTTTTTAAATGGAGAATTATAAGAAGAAATATATATGGAACAACCAGAAGGATACGCCGTTCCTGGCCAAGAGAAAAAGGTGTGCAGATTGATAAAGTCTTTGTGTGGGCTGAAACAAGCACCTTTACAATGGCACTTGAGATTTGATAACGTTATGCTATTGTTACGTATGAAATTTAAAATTAGGTTAAAAAGCCCAAGGTAAAAGAAAAATGGGCCTGGCAATAGAGTTGATTGAACTGGCTGAAGGACACCGTGAGGAAATCAAGGAAAATAGGTTTATTTCTAAGGAAAATACAGGACGGAAAGACCTCAGGTCGGAAGGTCTTCAGGTCGGGAGGTCCTCAAGACGGAAAGTCCTCAGGACGGAAAGACCTCAGGTCGGAAGGTCTTCAGGTCGGGATGTCCTCAAGACGGAAAGTCCTCAGGACGGAAAGACCTCAGGTCGGAAGGTCTTCAGGTCGGGATGTCCTCAAGACGGAAAGTCCTCAGGACGGAAAGACCTCAGGTCGGAAGGTCTTCAGGTCGGGAGGTCCTCAAGACGGAAAGTCCTCAGGACGGAAAGACCTCAGGTCGGAAGGTCTTCAGGTCGGGATGTCCTCAAGACGGAAAGTCCTCAGGACAGAAAGACCTCAGGTCGGAAGGTCCTCAGGTCGGGAGGTCCTCAAGACGGAAAGTCATCAGGACGGGAAGTCCGCAGGTCGGGAGGTCCTCAGGTCGGAAAGTCCGCAGGTCGAAAAGTCCTCAGGGCGGAAAGTCCTCAGGTCGAACAGGTCGGGAAGTTCTCAGGTCGGAACTCTGCGGCGGGACCAACAAGTCGGATGGTTTGTTAGTCGGGATGTCTGTAGCTAATCCAAACAAGGCAGATGGTTTGGAAGTCGGGAGGATTGGCAGTCGGACCAATACGGTTGTAGATTGGCAGTCGGGCCAAAAGGGCGGAAGGTCTGTGGTCGGCTCAAAGAGTGAAATATAGTGACAATTTTGGTCCGCTGAGGACACGTGTCAGCAGGAGAAGGGTTGGAAGACGGTTGGAAAGGAGACGTTGTAACCGTTCGGGCGACGGTTTTCAGTACAGTTTCCCAGAGAATATTTAAGGGTTTGGATCATCATTTGGCAGAGCATCTTCAATCAACTTCAACAAAGCAAAGTCAGATTTGGGGATCACCACTTTAAATTTCAGTCTTTTATTTTCCAGTTTATTTTCTGTACCATACAGTGTTTAGAGATTCCTAATCTCAGGCACTAATTAATCAAGTTTAAGGATATTTTCTATATCTTTGAATTTTACTTTATTTTTGTTGAAAAATTACATCAATAAATTGGCGACCACAGTGGGAGCAAGACAAAATTGCTCATTCCAATTCCGGCGATAATTTCATACGTCTTAGATCCGGCCGTATCATCGGAAGGGTCCATATGGCAGGTTCACAACCTCAATCATCTTCGGCACCGGCGGGAGAATCCGTTCCACCACCTGTTGTGCCAAATGCTGGGGAAAACCCACAACCACCAACTGATTGGAGGTCTTATGTTCAACAAATGAACAACCAGCAAACTTTGGTTATGCAGAACATGTTGCGTGAGCAACAGAATCTGATGCAGAACATGTTAGATCAAGCACTGTCAAGGGTTAGTCTTCAACCCACTTAAACTCCACCAGGAGTATCACCATCCAGACTACAGGCAAATTTCGCAGGGCCATCATTCGTGGATAGCGCATTTCCAAGTGCCACAAATCCCAACCGAACGGATAGGGGAAAATCTCCTCTGACTTTTCCCAACACTGTTCCACTGGGACCAAGGGTTTCCAGTCTGCAGCCGAACAATACAAGGGAGGACGGGCCTGGAGGATATATACATGATCCTATTCATATTCCGGTGCAGGATCCTTTCCATGTTCCTGATCATCAACGCTTTCATGTAGATCTTGATGAGATTGCACATATATTAAGGGATCAGTTTGGGCTAACTCCTCAGATGGCTAACCGCCCTGCATATCAGAGACCTTTCCCAGAAAGGATCATTAATGAACACCCCCTCCCAAGGAATTATCGACCACCCGATTTTCATGCATTCTCAGGGGAAGACGGATCTTCCACTATAGAGCATGTTGGTCGGTTCACAGCACAATTGGGAGAAGTTGGTAATAACCCTTTTTATAAGTTGCAACTGTTTGGTTTATCTCTTACTAGAACAGCGTTTTCGTGGTTCGCAAGTCTGCCTCCTGGAAAAATTCAGACGTGGGAAGGACTGGAGATGGCATTTCATGCCAGATTCTTCAATCCTTTACCAATTGTTTCTTTAACTGATTTACTAGAATTGAGACAGTATCCAGAAGAATCTGCTTCACAGTTTATAGAAAGGGTGCGATTGGTGAAAGGGCGATGTCCTACGGTAATCAGTGAGAAAGAGATGACCAATTTAGTGGTCCGGAATATGCATACTCGCTTAAGAAAGGCACTCACTGCACTGGATGTTGAGGATTTGGCAAGTCTTGCATCTAAGGCTGGGCGCTTAGAGTCTTTGTTCAGAGAGGAAGATCAGAATAACAGGCGTAATAGAGGCCAACATATGGCGAGTATGGGAACAGAAACATGTGATTTTGATTTTAATCAGTCAGAAGAGATGGCAGCTGAAATCCTCTCTGGAAAACCTTATGTATGCCCCAAATTGAAGCCAGTACCAGGGTCTGAAGGAAAGGATCAACCGACGTTTGATAGTTCGAAAGCTGACGAAATCTTTGATATCCTGTTGACTGATGGCCAGATCCGTATTCCAAAGGGGCAAAGACTGGCCACTAAAGAAGAAATCAAAGGGAGACCATACTGCAAGTGGCATAATTCTTTCACACACAATACAAGTCAGTGTACTCATTTCAGGAAGGAAATTCAAAAAGCCATCAAGACAGGTCGGCTCAAGTACATCACTTTAGGAGTAGACCAGCAACCGTTTCCGAAAGTAACAACGGCAATGGTTGACATCCAACCAAGTTCGGAAACAGGGAAAAATTCGGCTAATAATGGACAAACAGGGGAACGAACTCAGGCAAGCCCCGGAACAAAAAGAGGAAGTCAGCCAAACAGTGGCCGACCGGAAGAAAGACTCAAAGTTTGTGAAAAGCCAGTCGCTGAAAAATGGGACCATCCAGACGGTTCCTTTAATGTGGAAGTGAAAGAGAAGGTTTTAGTGCGTGACCACCCGACCAGAAAAACAGGGTCAGTCGGAAACAATTGGGCTCGAAATAAAAAGCCTTTACCAGTTGACATAGATCCTTGTTTCCCATGTATGAATCGTACACAGATTCGCAATGCCAAACGCAGGTATGCTGCGAAGTATGGGAAACGAGTTCCTTCAGCAAAACAACTAACCGACGAACGAAAAGCAGCCGACCACTTGGCAGGAGATCAGTCCATTAGAGTCTTTTCAACAGAACAAACAACCAACGAGCAGGGAGCAGCCATTCAATCTCCAAAAAGTCGGTCCAGTCGGGTCTGTTCAAGAAAGCAACCGAACGACGGATTAGGCGCTTCAGAGTATACCAAAGGAAGTTCGTCGGGACAAGGGAAAGGTAAGGGAATATCAGATGAAATAATTAGAGGTTTTAGATGCCAACATTGTGAACGGATCAACATCAATCCATCTCCTGAAGAATTCCGTATAGAATCTTTGACGGTTCAATCTCGGAATAAGACTAAGGAAGAAGTTCTAACTACAGAGGAAAATTCGAGATCTGTTAAATCTCGTCTAGGGCCACGAATCCCTTGTCGAATGACAGAGATTAATCAGATGAGAGATGAACCGATGTGGGCGAGTCTGATAGATGATACTATGGACGAACCTTTATGGGCATTCTTGGCAGATGATGAATTAGAGGAAACAGAGTGGGCAAAGACTTCAGATTCCGAGTCTCAGTCGGAGACACCTTCGATAGTGTTTCCTCCTATTCCAGAGGATGCGATCTCCCATTTGAAACCTCTGTATGTTAATGCTCACATTTGCGGGAAACCAATCACAAAGGTTTTTGTGGATAATGGAGCAGTCTTTAATGTTATGCCATTGAAGACTCTCAAGAAGCTAGGGAAAGGAATTCATGATCTGTCTCCTGTGGAATTCGAAATGACAAGCTTTACAGGGCAGCCGACCAAGCCTGAAGGTATGATGGTTGCCACAATTGAAGTCGGACCAAAAAAGATCTCCACTGTTTTCTTTATTGTGGACGCAGATACTACATACTCTCTCTTGCTGGGAAGAGACTGGATTCATGCCTCTCAATGTGTGCCATCAACACTGCACCAACAATTAATGTTCTGGGAAGGAAATCAGGTCTTCAAAATGGAAGCAAATGACAACCCATTCGATGTGTCAGAACAAGTTGAAGAGTCAGTTTTTTATTCCAGTCATTTGGCTCCGATGTCTCAGTTATATATGGCCAGGGAATACCCAAACAAGGGTTATAAAGTCACTGGCCAGAACTCGATGTTCTATTAAAAGAACAACTTTATTGTATGGCTCATGATAAAGCCACACCCATTCCCGTATAATTTGTTTGTTATGGATGATACAAGTTTAGAAGTATGTAGTTCTCTTATTAATAAGTTCTATTTAAAGCAGTTATTACATAAAGCAGAAAATAGTAAAGAGATTCTTGATGTTCACCTCCAAGAAGATGAACAATTTCGTTGGCCTGATTTATTAGAAAAAACAGAACCAACAGCTTCATCACAAGACCCATTATTGGAGTTTAATTTAGGAACCGAATTGGTTCCAAAAGTGATCAGGCTAAGTGGTTATTTGTCTAAAGAGCAACAGACAATGATGCTCGAAGTTATTAGAAACAACATTGATTGTTTAGCATGGGATTATTCAGAAATGCCTGGTTTGAAAAGAAGTTTAATAGAGCATCGATTGCCTATCAAGGAAGGTTGCAAACCTTACAAACAACCCCCAAGGCGAATGAGCCCGGATCTGATGCCTCAAATCAAGGAAGAAATCCAAAAACTTCTCAAAGTGGGTTTCATTCAGCCTTGCCGTTATGCGGAGTGGCTGGCTAACATTGTGCCAGTGATCAAGAAAAATGGTAAGATAAGGATATGCATCGATTTCAGGGATTTGAATCTAGCTACCCCTAAGGACGAATATGTGATGCCTATGGCCGACATGTTGATAGATGCAGCAGCAGGGCATAAAGTCCTTAGTTTGATGGATGGTTATGCAGGTTATAACCAAATATTTCTGGCAGAAGAAGACATTCCTAAGACAGCATTCAGGTGCCCAGGGGCTTTAGGTATTTATGAATGGACAGTCATGCCATTCGGGTTAAAGAATGCAGGGGCAACTTACCAAAGAGCCATGAATTCAATCTTTCATGATTTAATTGGCAAATCTATGGAAGTTTATATTGATGATGTTATTGTTAAATCCTCCAGTTTTAACGAACATTTGAGAAATCTTGAAGAGGCATTTGAAAGAATGAAGAAGTACAAGTTGAAGATGAATCCAACCAAGTGTGCTTTTGGAATATCAGCTGGGAGCTTTTTGGGATTTTTAGTTCATGAGAGAGGAATTGA